GCCTGTAATGGGCGTGCATAAGGGCACCAGTGTGCCTACTGTCCCTGCCCTGCTGTCCCCATTTACTTGCATTCATTTCCTTTCTTCATGTCCTTCCAGAGCAGTGTTTCCCAACCTTGGCCACTTGAAGATGTCCGGACTTCAACTCCCAGAATTCCGGGAGTTGAAGTCCGGACATCTTCAAGTGGCCAAGGTTGAGAAACACTGGTGTAGAGAGAGAGAGAAAGGCTGGATGCTATAGAAAAGATAAGCAGGATGGGGTGTGAGTTCCAGGTGGAAACAGCACCAAGAATGCTTGCCCAACCTGGTTGGAAATCCACAGAAGGGGGATTCCTTCCCTCCCTCTGGAACAGTGTTTCTCAACCTTGGCCACTTGAAGATGTCCGGACTTCAACTCCCGGAATTCTGGGAGTTGAAGTCCGGACATCTTCAAGTGGCCAAGGTTGAGAAACACTGCTCTGGAAGGACAGAGGACCTTCCCTGCCAGGCTCTTCAGGGGCCTTAAAATTGCCCTCCTATCACTCCCCACCACAGCCGTCTTCCCCCCACTCCCCAAGGTTCAAATGCCCCCCCCCAATGCTACCATTTCAAATGGACCCCAAAACCCGGCTCTTGGCGAGGGTGACTGGAGCCTCTTTTTCTTCCTTGGGCCCAGCTGCTCCCCCCAATTGGGCCACCTGGGATTTTAGGGACTTCCAGCAATTTGCAAACTGCCCAGAGAGGCTGGACGTCCGGAAGAGCATAAATTTAATCAATTAGATTTTTGTCCCATCTTTTGTTCTCTCCCTCACACACACAGCAGAAGGCTGCAAAAACGGCTCTCTGTAGTTTATATATTTATTGTTTATTAAATGTTTATGTCACCCGTTCCCCTACAGCAGGAGCTGGCTGGGGAATTCTGGGAGTTGAAGTCCACAAGTCTTAAAGCGGCCAAGTTTGAAGACCTTGAAGGCAGGATGGGCTCAAAGAGGGCGGCGCCAGCCGCTGCTGCGGGCTCGGATTGGCGGAAGGTTCGCAAGGGGCAGAGCTTGACCAACCCACGCCCCGCCCCGCCGCCATTTTGCAGCTGGCTGGGGAATTCTGGGAATTGAAGTTCACAAGCCTTCAAGCTGCCAAGTTTGAAGAGCCTTGCCCTACAGGGTGACTCTGGGCGGCTTAAGAGTTAGAAAACAAATAACTCGCCCTCCCTCTGCGGCCGCGTTCCCAGGCCTATCCAGGGACTACGAGGGCGCCTCCCCTCGTCCGCCCGGCGCCCCCCTCCTCACCGTGAGGCCGCCCGTCGAGAGTAGGCCCGCTCCCCTCGGCCATAGCGGCGCCACTGCCGGAAGAAGAGCGCACTTCCGGCCATTGGAGACACGCCAAAAGGGCTCCCCCCCACGGTGCACCCGAAAGAAATCCCCCGGAAAAAGAGAACGGGCGATGCGGTTCCGGTTGGAGCGCGGAGGGAGGCTGGCTTGGCCGAGCGAGGGGAAAGAAGGCCGGCCTCTCTTTTCCGGCCTTGGTCCAGCCCCGCAGCGTGGAGCAAGTGCGCTCCCTCAGCGTCCCCAGCTCTTTGGCTTGGGGTTATTCAGGGGGGCTGGGAAGCTGGCGGCTGAGGCCTGACATCCCCCCGCCCCCCCGAAGGGTGGCCCATCTCCCAGAATTCCCCAGCTGGGATGCCACCTGGGGAATTCTGGGGGTTGAAGTCCAGCCTCCCTGAGGTTGCCCAGGTTGAGAAAGCCTGGCTCAGGGCAAGCAGGGAGGCATTTTAAGCAGGCAGTGGGGAGGGGCCCCCTGCAGGGCCCTTTTGTGACACCAGCGCCAAGTCACAGTGCCAGGCTGGGCTGCAGGGACAGAGACCCCCCCTCCCCCCCAGGGCAGCTGAATTGCTTTGGGGCCTTGGGCTGCCAGGGAGGTTGGTGACGGCCTGCAGCGTTTGATGGAATTCTTGGGCACCACCCAGACGGCCAGCTACTGCGGACCGAAGAAGAGCTGCCTGCTGCCGGAGGTGGCCCCCACCAGCCTCAGCCATGACAGCTACCAGGCTTACTACCTGCCAGGCTATCGCTACCTGAACTCATGGAGGCCCAGCCTCTTCTACAAGGTCTCTGCTTTCCGACCCGGTGATGAGGGGGCCGGGCGCCTCAGTGCCCCGTTGAGGCCCCCGACCATCCTGCCCTCGGTGAGGTCGTCCCTCTACGCCCGCTACAGTCCCCACGACTGGTACAAGGCCAACGCCGTGCAGATCAAAGGCTCGGAGGCGTACCGGCACTGGGCTGGGCGGCTGAATGCGGACAGTGCGCGGCTCATGCAAGACAAGGACCAGCTGACTCGGCAGCAGCAGGAGGATTCTGGGAAGAACCTCGGGCAGAGGCTGGCCGACATCGATTTCTGGCGCTCCGAGCTGACGTATGAGCTCGAGCGGCTGCTGAATGATACCCGTGCGCTGGACACTGCCAAGCGGCGCCTGGAGTGTGCGGCTGACGAAGCCCAGGGGCCTCTCCAGGCAAGTGTGGCACCCCCGGTGCTGTCAGGCTGCTATCAAGGTGGGGTGCTGGAGAAAAGGGACTGGCCCCTCTTGTGGCCACCGCGGAGTGATGTCTAGCCAGCCGTTTCCCTGGTGGGAACTAAATTCTATAACATTCTCCTTCACTGTAACACTGCAGCAGCCTTCGAATGGTAGGCAAGCCCTTGGAAAGATAGCAACATACTTTTTATTATTAACCTATCCCTCTACACTAGGCCATCAACAGCCTCACAAAATGACAGGCAAGATAAAATGACCTGTGCTCTCTGCCAAAGGCGGTTTGCAGTGGAGATGTGGAGAAACACTTCCAAATTATAGATTCCGCCATAGAAGAGGGGAATCAGAAGAGATTAAAAATGCTTAGGTAGATGGCTTCAGAAATGGCAATTCTACTTTTTGTATTAAGGGCCAGAAGAGCAAGTTTCTTTTGAGCTCAGAAAGGAGGAGGAATCTATGCCAAAGCTTTGGAAGCAGTAAAGCCTTAACCTCTCTGCTGGTGGCAGCACCAGCTCACTCTTGACTGGAAAGCTAAGCAAGGCTGTGCCTGGTTGAAAAAGAAGTCACCGGGAGGGAGTCAGCTTGACTTGGAAGAACCTCTGCACCGGAGATAAATTCCTTGTGTGTCCAAACACACCTGGCCCATAAAGAATTTCTACCTGCCTATTTATCTAGTCCAGTGTTTCTCAACCTTGGCGACTTGAAGTCCTGTGGACTTCAAGTCGCCAAGGTTGAGAAACACTGATCTAGTCAGAACTCAGACTGTATAATTTTATATCAGTTTGTATTTCTGAACTGCAAGCAGGTAGAAGAAGTCCTCCTGGAAACTTTGTCTGTGTGCCCAAGAATTAATGTTATAACAGTATTGTTGGTGCCTTTTGGTGAAATATCAGTTGTAGAAGAAAAGGGTGATAATTCCACTTTCTTGAGTGTAGAAAAGCAGGATTTTAAAAAAATGTTATGCTAGAAACCTTAAGTGCCCAAGTCAGCTTTGCTGCGATATTAAAACTGGCCATTTGGTGGCATGTTAGCTTTTCCCTTCAAATCTGTTCAGGACATAATATTGTTGACCCCAAAGTAGCCACAGCCAAAGTTGGCTTGAGGCAGGAACTTTTCATCCTCTCCCCCCCCCCTCCTCCCTCTGCCCCCTTGGTTATCTTTGTTCATCCCTTGGGATTGGGGGTTGGGGAGTTGGTGCTGGAGCTCCCAGATTTTTGTTGCCAAAATCCAGACAACCACTGGAGGATAGCAAAGAGATTTAAAAAAAAAATCTACTGTGCCCCCCACCCCGAAGTTTTCTGCCCAGACCCTACGGTATAGCAGCCCATGCTGGTCCCCTTATTTTATTTTAGCTGCTTCTAGCTAGTAGGTTAGGAAAAGAAAGTGGGCTGCTTGCTCGCTTGTGGGGGTGGTCAGCCTTTCGGTTTGGAGAAATAAAGCCAAATTGCCAATGACAAAAGCTTATAATTGGAAGCGTTAGCGGTATTCACTGATTTGTCTGGATTGCTCCTAGGTGGCCTTGGAATGTTTATACAATCGGGAGAAACGGATGGGAATTGACTTGGTCCACGATCCCGTGGAAAGGAATCTCATACAGGTATTGTAAAATAGTTTATAAGCAGTTGCCAGAAAGTAGCGTTAAAATGGTAGGTTTTCCTTTTCCTGCTCTTCGTGCGCTCCCGGTTTGCTCAGGAAAAATAAGCAGACCGGAAATTGTTCAGAGCAAGAGCGAATATGCTATCAGCTTGTTTGGAGATATCTGGTTGCATATCAGGAAGAGGGTTTTCCCTTTTCTTCTCCTTCTTCATTTTCTGTGTGCAGGAACTTTTTGTGTAAAGTAAGTTGCAGTAATGTGAGATTAGTCCAGTGGGACGACTTTGCGAAAAACGCTTGGGGAACTGGGATGAAGAGATGCTTGCCCAGAAAACGGTCCGAGAAGAGGCAGCAGAGCCCACAGCTGGAAAGCAGGGGGGGGCGAGAGGCTGAGGAGGGACCCTGCCTAGTTTCCCAGGTTGCGAAAGAGATGGCGGAAGAATCCTACTTCCAGGCTTGCAAAATTCTGTTGGTGTAGCTTTACCAATAAAGTAGAATGAGCTTAGTTGGTTGTGTTTTCTGTCTGGTATAAGGCGACGACTTCTTTAAAATTCACCAATTTCAAGAGGGCGAGGATTAGTCTGCAGCTGGTTTCCCACATTTAGGCTGTGTTGGACTTCAGCTTCCATAATTCCCAGCCCCTGGGACTTGGTGAAAGATAATAACTCACAGCAATTCTATGCATGCTTCCATGGAGCTATGCCTCTGCCATATCTATTAGTACCTGTAATGCATGATGAAACTTTTGTCTCTCAGTTCAGGTTTAAACAAATAACTCTTGAGACGCTCGGTGTGTCGTGATGCAGATCTCTCAATCTGGAGTCTCCCTTGAATCATCTGATAAGCTCCACCTTAATTTAATATTCCTGCTGATAAAAATGAATGAGAATCGCAATTCCCAGCGTGCAATTGCATATAAATGTAATACAATGCTCTTTTTGCGCTTTAAATAAACAAGATGTTTTTCTGCGTATGTCCTGGAGGAAGGCTGGGAGAAGCCTCTCCGGAGCTGCAGCTAAATTTACACTGATGTCTCGGTATTGTCATCAAGTGTCAAAATATCACCAAGGCCTTTAATTCCCTGTTGTCGTTTGTTTCCCTTCCCTGGGCCTTTGCAAGGACGGAGGGCTCCACAAACCGCCTTTCCCTGGACTTTTGTAGACTCCCTGACCGGTGTGTGTCTTTTTTCTCTCCCAGGAAGTGGATTTGATCAGGGCTTGCCAAGAGAAAATGAGAAAGCTTGCAGAAAGAATCGACCAGCAGATGAAGTAAGCTTTGAAACAAGTTGGCTGCTATTTAAAGCGGGGCACGAGCTGGTCTGTCTGATCTACGCTGGGGATGATGCAACACCTGCAGCAGTTCAAGATCAGCATTATGGTTGGAGGAATCTTCTTTAGAACGGGTGGGGCCTTCAGCAAAGAGCAGCCTGTTCATTGGGCGGTTCTCCAGTAGCGAGAAGCATCCCAACTGGGGAGCACCCAGAGGGCAAACCGGGAGCAGCCTTCAAAGGGCTAAATCAGCATGATTGTTGGGGCGCCCTGGACCACCATCACCCACCCACATATTTTACTTGGACTGTCACGGTAGGCGGAAGTTCAACAAGTAGTGGTAGCAGGACCCCTTTCTCTCCGCTCTTTTGTCTGAAAGGAAAGTGTGATAATCGGGAACTCAGCAAACGTAGGAAGGGTTTCTTGTCAATTGCAGTCTTCTTGTAAAAGGGACAGAAGCGTAGCCTTAAAATTCCTGCCTTTTTCCCCCCCTCCCAGCAATCTGGGGATGTAGAGAAATTTCCTGTTCCTTTTCCTCGACTCCTTTAAATAATAATATTGGGAGAGAAAAGAAGGTAACGGCAGAAATCTTTGTTCCAGCCTTAACAGAGATGCCCAACATGCACTTGAGCGGGACCTCGGTGATAAAAGTTCAGCTCATTTTATTGACGAAAAATGCTATAATTTGAGGAATACTTCGGACAGCATCAACTACTACCATGGAATTGAGAAAATTGATGGAACGTAAGTACCAGACTATCCCCTCATAAGTCATTTTAGGAGCCGCTGAATGAATGCGGGGATAAGAAAGAGCCGATCTCATGCAGTTGGCCAGAACTGGTTCATTGACGATTGGAGACTGGATAAGGCAGTGTTTCTCAACCTTGGCAACTTGAAGATGTCTGGACTTCAACTCCCAGAATTCCCCAGCCAGCATTCGCTGGCTGGGGAATTCTGGG